ATTTAGGGGATGTTACTTTTCTATATTCTGTACCTCAGTGTTCTTGTTTTTGCGATAGTTAAATATCACGTTGGCTATAATTAAACGATGGTCGGATCCACATTCTGATGCACGGTATACCCTTACGTCAGTTGTTTTCAGCTTGGGAGTTTGGCGTTGGATTACATAGTACATTTATGTTACATTTTGTATTATATATGCCAAACTCTTTAATTATGTGCAAAACTAATGAAATTGATCATCTTGTTTTTTAAAGTTTGGTATTACACTGTTTGCATGCTCAAGGCAACAGGTAGTGAAAACCATTATGGCCATACACATAGGCGCAACCATACTTAGTTGAGTATTGTCATCGCGTGCCTTAGTCTGTGGACCAATAAGCAATTCGATGCGCATCGCCCCACCTTTTTACCTGACATTCAATTTACGATTATCCGATTGACTTGGAAATGCACATACCGATACGAAATAAAGTTTATAAAAAGGGTGAATTTTCCAGCCATGGGTAGTCAAGCCTAGCCTTACTCCGGTTCCCATGTAGGGTTTCCTACACCTTAAGACCTCTTTCACGGGGCTCTGCTCCCTTCTTCTCCTGAGACTCTTGCTAGGACCTTTTTCGACTACAAAACTGAGTTTTATTTTACCATCCCGTTTAATTAAGAAGGAAACGCAGAGGCAACTTCTGATTGACTGACCAAAGTCCTCTGTAGAGTACCTAGGGAGCTGATATGAAGTTATTTCCAGTGAAAACTCTTACCCCTCTATGGTGACAGTATGTATGAAAAGTATCATTTAAAAGTTTTGTTAAAATTTTAAATGGATGAACAGTAATTGTGCTTGGCCATAGTAATTCTATATGGTAATAGTTATTCTCAGCCTCTAGTCAGTCAAAATTTAACCAAAGTATGGGATCAGTAAACCGAGTATATCAAGGGTTGATAAAGTCTGATTACACTTTAGCTAGATCTTCGATTTTCTGAATAGACATGTTTAAAAAGGTTTTACACAAATTTTTGTACTGCTTAAATATTTACTAAAAATTTGCCTTCTTAGTCTAGTTATCCGTCCATAAACTGTGTTAGAAAGATGTATTGAATAATTTGCGACAATGCGAGATGATTGATTGATTTATGTTTATCTGTTGGGAGTTTCAACCCTGCATATCAAACGCGTGCAGTGCTGAATATTTAAACATGTTTTTGTACTATTAATTTGATTATCTTAACATATATTTATTTACGGTTTGCTTTATGTATTACCTTAACTTTCGGTATATAATAGATAAAAGGATAAATTCAAACTAGCCGAATCTTTTAAAGTTAATAGGCTCAAATGACATTTTATATCATGTCATTAGCAACCGATCATTTTAATTAGCATTAACTGTTATATTTTGTCTTTAAAGGTATTTAAATTTTTTATGACAATACATTTTTTGAGCTCAATTTCTTTTAAAACATTAATTTATAATTTTAAAATGCACATAACATAATACCTTAAAGTATATCTAGGGTTGACATTTACATTGCAACTTTTACATAAAGTTGCATACAATCTAAAGTAAAGATAATTTTGATATATTTTTTATTAAATACGATTTTATTCATATACTGCATTTAGACTCTCATAAAAATTCAACAGTTTCAATTTCCTAGAACATAGGAAATGTTTATTTTCAGTTCCTTAAAACTTTATCAGTTCATAAAATATATAATTATTTAGTCTGCCGATCCTAGATATATAAGCAAGCAACACAGTGTAAAAAATACACATAAAATTGCACAAAAAATACAATATTATTAATCTAATATAATAAAAATATATCTCTGTATAAATATATCCTTAAAATAGCAAGAAAAATATATAATGGCAACAATTCATTTTATCAACATTAACAACTAATCAGCCTTATTCCAGTCAAATTTTATAGTACACTTTTATGAAAATTTGGTTGTACGTTTTGTTGACGACCTGAAATACATAAAATTTAATTATTAATCTTTAAAATAATAATTTGTTTTTAACTTCATACAGCAGATTAACCGAAAAAATCTGTAGAATTAACACATTTTTAACTCTGATGACAACCATACAACAATAACAATTATACAAAGTATAATATAGTTTGCAAATCATAGGCACTAAATTACAAGAAATGGTAAACGGTTACCGTTATTCTTGGTCTTCCTGCGTCGTACAACAATTTTTTGTAAAAGTTTTGAAATTGGGGTATTTGCCACACTAAAGACATTAGCACTAAACATACAAACACAGTCACGCATGACAATTAACAAAAGGTCCTATGACTCATATGCACCTTTCTCGCGTTTGTGCCACACCAGTGACATACCTTTCTCACAGGTCGTTTCTCCCCACGTTGGGCGCCAAACGTGGCAAAACGGTCACAGGGCTCTACTACGCCGAATTGAAGAAAATGACCCGCTCATACGATCTACAATTGGGCTACGAACTGTTGCGCCCTTCCACCATATTTTCTAGATTTCGCCCCGCGTAACTTGTTGTCCTTTCCAACGGGATACATATCAGGAACACGGACACTCACTTAGAATAAAAAGATCGTTAGGCATAACATTATAAGAAAATTAAAGGAGTATACGGGGGTAAGATACAGAATAGGACAAAGTAATTCAAATAAAGTATTACACATGTCCAGTTTTTTTAATAAATCACAATAGATGATAATCTTTAATATGTCTGTCATAGTTCTTATAACTAATGATGTAAGAGAGCCAAAGGAATTATTAAATAAGCTAGACCCCGTGTACTGAGATGGAACTTCAATAAAACCAAACTCATGGCCAATTTGAACTTAAATCAACATCTGACTAGAGATGACTAAAAAGAGAAGTAAAATTAGTGGAAATATACGATATACAAATAGAACAAATAAAGCACTTTGGACCAAAAAATATTGAGTGGCTCGTCAAAAAAAAAGGAACTGTTGCGTCCGTACATTCCAAATCAAAAAAATCTGGAGAAAAGCTAGAGTGGTGGGCTTCTTAAAACCAGGAAAGAAAGAGTTTAAGACCTGTCTCTTTTTTGTGTCACCTTTGCAAGGGGTTCGAAAGAATGATACTGAACCTAATCGCTGAATCTGTGGGCACTAAAATTATTCCTGAAGAAGCAGGATTTAGACCCGGAAAATGCTGCTGCTGTCAAATTCTTTATCTCACCCAACATATTGAAGATGGGTTTGAACAGAAAGAAATAACAGGAGTAGCGTCAGTCACAGACCTGACTGCCGCCTATGACACAGTTAACCATCAACGGCTGCTGGTAAAACTCGACGAAATTACAAAGGATTTCCGACTAACAAGGTTAATGAAATGTCTTTTCTAGAATAGACGCTTCTACGTAACGCTCCAGTCCAAGAACAGTCGATGGAGGGATAAAAAAAAATGGACTTCCGCAGGGAAGTGTCCTGGCGCCATTGCTATACAACATTTACACCAATGACCAACCCAAAACCAACAAAAAAGACAGTTTATTTAGGCGGATGATACAGGTGTGGTAGCTCAGGGAAGTACCGTCAATGAAGTCGAAGTAAAACTGACAGATGCCCTAGAAGACTTAGCACTATACTATGACGAAAACCATATGAAACCCAATCCTACAAAATCCCAGGTGTGTGCTTTTCACCTTAGAAACAAGCATGCCCGAAGGACACTGGAGGTGGAATGGCGTGGTCAGATGCTGAAGCACAGTGAGACGCCAAAAAACCTCGGCGTACGTCTCGATATAACTCTGTCTTATCGATATCAATGTCAAGATATCAAGAAAAAAGTAAGCGCCAGAAATAATATCATCCGCAAACTAACAAACACAAAATGGGGAGCACAACCACACACTCTCCGTTTTTCTGCTTTAGCATTATGTTTTTCTGCCGCCGAGTTTGGAGCACCAGTGTGGGAAAAATCTGCTCACGCTAAACACATCGATTTTGCGTCAACTGAAACGGTTCGTATAATATCTGGTTGCTTGAAAACGACACCTATCGAAGAGATCTAGAATTTAGTGTATTTTTTATGATCTACCTCCATTTTTAGTTCTTAAAATTTGTGAGTAACAGTGTCGGAATGTGGCACGGGGGGGTTTAACCCCCCAAAACCCCTGAGTGCGCTACTGAGGACGATACCTGCGACAGTGGCGAGGTTCAAAATAGTCACCATCTACTATCATGCACAGAGATGAGAGAGACCTGCACAAAAGAAGACCTATTCTTAGCAAATGACAAGGCCATCTATGTGGCCAACCATTAGAAACACAAAATTTAAAGTTGTTGGTGTTCCGGACACAAAAAGTAAGTAAGTAGTGGAAATATGAACTGGGTAACATTCGAATACGAAGCACATCTAAGAAAGAATTTAAAAGACATGGAGGGACACAATGTTTTTCTTCAATTTTGAACCTATACTATAGATCTGAGAAATCTTTGGAGCGGTACAATTGTGCGCTACAGAAAATGGTAAAAGGAAAAGTTCGGTGGAAAATATGTTATTATTAATATCAAATAAATCCGTCTACAATATACGGGACATGAAGCCCGAGCGCTAGAATCAAATGCAATAAAAATAATCACAACTATCCAACCAGGGAGTACGGGAAAAAGGAGTAGACTAAATTTGCTACAAACTACTTGATACAATGCTAATATGTAAATTATAAAGTGAATGATTTTCAATTGACTGTAAAATGAAAGTAAACAGAGCAGACTTATTTATTATAGCCGCTACTATTCAATTTGCATGATGAAAAGAATTTTCAATACACTTTGGTAAATATATTCGGCTTAACTTATACTGTATTTAAAAATTTGAATGGTTTGTTAAAATGTAAACAGAACCTAACATTTAAGCACACATATTTATCTTACTTACTTGCAAAAATGTCATTCCAATAAAAAGAACTTTGAAATAGGGCTGAATATAAAATTTCCAGCACAACATAAATAAAGTTTACATTGGCTTTCGTTGAGGCGGTTACGATAAACCAAATAATTTCATTGAATTAAATGAAGTCGCTAGCGCAACCTCTTCGGGTTTCTTTTTCATAAAAGCTGCTATCATTTCGACAATTGCCGGGAGTGAACAAGGTTCGTTTCGTTGAAAAGTGCAGTAGCGATGGAGGAACATCATCGATCTGTAACAGATATTAGTTCTAATTTATTTTCAAAAAAAAACAAAAATCTTGCTTTTAAGAAGATTATCTATATTTATCACTTTCTTTGTTAGTATTAGAAAGTTACTATTAAAAACGGCGACACTTTCAAAATAAGTACAAGCGCCTTAGTAGAAACAGGTATAGAAATTACAAAGGAAGAAATATTGTATGCACTAAATAACACCAGAAACGGAAAAAGCCCGGGGCCAGATCAACTGCCTATTGATATCCTTAAAATAATAGAAAATGAAATTTATCAGTCGGGTGACATACTCAATGAATGGTTGACCTCAACATTTATTTGTCTCTCAACAAAGAAAAATGCTAGAGAATGCACCGACCATCGCACCATAAGCCTGATGTCTCACATACTTAAAATGTTTTTAAAGATCATCTATAAACGCATTTAGCAAATACTTGATATGGATATTGAAGAAACCCAATTTGGATTCCGTAGAGGCGTAGCTACCCGTGAGGCTCTCTTTGCATTCAACGTACTAATCGAGAGATGTTTGGATGTGAACCAATATATGTACGTCTATTTCATAGATTAACAAGGCTTTCGATAACATCCTCCACAAAGAGCTAATTGGCGCCCTGAAAGCAAAACAATTACAATACAATGACCTTCGAATTATAACAAATATATATTATAAACAGCAGGCACACATACGCATTAATGAACACACATCAGAAAAGTACGAAATTAAAAGAGGAGTGCGACAATGGTGTGCATTGTCACCACTATAGTCGGACAGATTTCAATTAAAGGTGACTAATCTACAAATTGAACTAAACGGTAGCGGCAACCGTGTAAAATGACAGTAGTAAATTCTTACAGGGGTCATTTTTATTGCGTATACTTCGCCCATGTAAATAAGCAAAAAAGTAATATAGTCCTCATAACATTTTCCCCCGTAACAATATAAATTGGTGCGGTTCACGAGTGTGTAGTGAGACAAGTTTATTGAATAGTTTAAAACATCCGCAAACATATCAATATTTTGCTGGTCTATATATATTTACGTTCTTAGAAAGAATGTTAATGAGTGAAATATGATATTTTAGTTTATGTTTATTCGATCCAAATTCTAATGTGCATAGGCGTAGCGTTTTCTATTTCGTGGGAATATATTTATTAAATAGACTTTATTATTAACTTTAAAATAGTTTTGAGGTAAGTAAAGTAAATTTGTGGCAAATTTATTCTTTATATAGTATTAACCCGTTAACGGCCGGTCAGTATACAAAGAGAAATTTGTCAATTAATTTATTAGATTGGAATAAAAACACATATATTAAAAAAGGATTGCAATTTACAACAAAAAAGATTTTTTTTCTCATTTTCAAGGAAAACTACAATTTTTAATGAAGGAACATATTGCATCTTAAATGTAAATTAAATTGTAAGGTGAAAATTTTCGAAACATTCGGGGTGTAGATGCTTTTAGATAAATAAATAGTAGTACTTTTGCATATCCTACATTCTTGCACTATCGTCTCTTTTTGTAATGTGGCCAATTGTCAAATCTGGTAAAGCAAATTTAGATTGAGGTACATGTACGAAGCTTGACATTGATGTAGCGATTCTTCACTATTATAAATTATAAATATAAATCTATGTCGGCTTTCTCTTATAATGTGCACTTCTTTATCTTCATCTTTTGACCAATGTATATCAACTTGAAGCAGAGTGTGAACAATCTGAGTATTCTTCTAACAAAGCTATTAACTCTTTAGTAGTTAGTGCCATCTTTATTTCATATTTCGAGCAGTCGCCACATTGGGCATATTGGGCAGTCGCCACATTGAAGTTTGTACAACAAGAAGTTTGAAGTTTAAACATTGAAGTTTGAATAACAAGAGCCAAAATAAAAAACACTTAAATAGTGCTGTGTACAAACTTCAATGTGGCGACTGCCCAAAAACTTACATCGGTCAAACTGGTAGAAACTTTAATAAACGAATAGCAGAACATAAAAGTCAATAATAGAAAAACAGATTCGACATACGCACTTCACCTTCTAGATCATAATTATTCTTTTAATGACAAATTTAAAATTCTTGACATTCGAAATAAAGGCCTTAAGCTATCTTTGCTAGAATCTATGGAAATCAACAAATTAAAAAATACAGGTATAATTCTGAATGACCAACTTGAGACAAACAGTTCTCCCCTCCTCAACCTATTTCATTAGAGACTATAAATTGTAAACGCATGCCAAAAATAGATCACTTGAGAAAGGCAATCAGCCGAAACAGCTGAAGTGATAGTAGTTAAAATAAATTTTGTGGAAGTTTGAAAACAAAGTTTTCAGTGTTTTATTCTTACGAAAAAATAAGTATTTTCCAAAGTTTTCTGTTTTTTGAAGTTCTATATTAGGTACTCTCTAATAAGATTAAAATTTTACTTTAATTTGTTAGACAACTATAAGATACCTGTCAAAAGACACATGATAATTTAATGATTATATCGGTCTTACATTTAACTTTTATGTAATTACTTATGTATTTAAATAAATAGTTAAATCAATTCAATTCGAGTTAAAACAAAACAAATATAACGTTCATAGCAGACAGCAATTCTATAAATAGATAATGAAGTGCAACGACGAGATCGTATGTTAAAATTTCAGATTGTTTAGTCTACTGAAGAAATAAGTATTTTGCAAAGATTTCTGTTTTTTGAAGTACTGTATTAGGTACTCTATAAAAAGAATAAAATTTTCCTTTATTTTGTTAAACAACTATTCACTCCGTGCTTGACTGACCTATTGCCTTCATCTGAGAGTTTTGGACCTCACAATTTGAGTTTAAAAATATGTTAAATATATAAGAAATTGACAATTATGAATAATTAGTTTTTTAATTATATTTTTCAGTTTATGTACAAAATAAATGTAGTATTTAAAACTGAGTTTTTAAAAATTCATCATAATTTATCTGTGCCAATCGTTTATCCCCAAACGGAAAAGAAAGGGAAAAATATAGTACTGACAAAGATTTTCATGTGGAAGAGCATATAGTTAAAAACAATAGTAGTAAAAGTTATGATATAAAAGCTAAAGTCATCAGGCAGGCTGCAGTTAGCTTGAAACCTTATGAAATATCATTTAAGGTTATTTATTTAAATTTTTCCTATTTTAATTGCATAAAAATGAAATTATGTGATATTTACTTTTTCATATTGATAGCACGAAATCATCTTTTTCTTTTCTCGAATTTATATGTAATCTTTAGAAACCTATAAGAACTACACTCACTATTTTTGCTATTATTTGCACAATTAAATATGCAACATGTATTTGCACCCATTTTTGATAAAATTTATGCGTAAAATATAGGTATAATTTTGTCATATTTCGCCGCTACGGAAGCTGGCATTGTTTCAAGGTACCCCTACCATGGTTACGCACGGAGCGAATAAGATACCTGTTAAAAGGCACTTGATAATTTAATAACTATATCGGTCTTAGATTGAATTAATTACTTATGTGTTTAAATAAATATTTAAATTTTTTTTGGTACGCCTCTGCAAAATTGATAAGTGAAATATGATTTCGTTGAAATGTTATCGTTAAGGGCTTAGTTAAGTGCGATGTTGCAAAATAATCACCTTCAATTAAAAAATGTTTTAGTATACTATTCAATGCATACTCTTGAGGGAGAAAAAGCGGGAATAAAGGTCAATGGAACACCAATTAACAACATTGGATATGAGGACGATACTATCATAATAGCAGATAACCTGCAAGATCTCCAAAAGCTAATGAACAAGATAGTTGAGTACAGAGACAATTAACGGTGAAACTTTAGAACAAGTTGAAAACTACAATTATCTTGGCAGAATAATTAATCACACAAATGTTTACTCCAAAGAAGTCAAAGTTCGAATAGAGAAAGCATGAACAAACTTCATTAAAATGAGAAAGATACTTTGTGCAAGAGAACTGAAGTTAGATTTGAGAGTTAGGCTGGCAAGGTGTTATATTTTCTCGACTCTGATTTGCGGGATAGAAGCATGGACGCTTAATGCGTCGACTACTAACAAGTTGGAAGCATTTAAACTGTGGGTGTATAGAAGAATATTGAAGATATCATGGACCAAGCATGTAACAAACAACGAAGTCATGAGAAGAGTCAACAAAAGAATGGAAATATTGGAACTGTGAAATCTGTGCCAATAGGGCCATCACAGCTAAGATCTATACAAAATATTTGCAGTATTTGCTGATAACTGTGCATAGTAATTGTTTCCCGTTATCTCACTATTTTTTATCAATTATATTAAATATAATTATATAAACAATACAAAAATAACTATGAAAACAAACTTTGTTATGAAATACTTAACAGTGAAGGTCAGGTTCATTTTATATAGAGCAAATGCCTTAATATCTAAAAATAAATATGAATGTGGATATACTTGAAACGTCTATGAATGTATAATATATCATAGATAAAAATATCCTTTTCAAATCCTTAAGTGATTTATAATAATCATCCAACAGAAAACGTAACTCGGTGGAAATGACGTCTTAAAAAGGTATTTTTATCATTTTTAATGAAAATAAATGCCTGGAATTATGACTAAAAGTTGTAAAATTCTTTGCGTAAATGTTTATTTAATTCATTTCACTCTTCATCAGACTTTTTAAGTTACGCTCAAGTTATTTTATGAATCTGGATTTGAGCTCGTATCCATCGTTTTCCTGCAAGGGTTTCCCTGTTGATAGACAAAATGTTCTTACTACCAGAATGCAAATTTTTCATTTTTTTATGTTCTATATAAAACTAAAGTGAAATTTTAGCCTTCCCCTCCCCCTCGCTACCCTCAAAAATGTCAATTTTCGCTTTTATTTTTTTTAGGTAGGATGTAGTCAATTTAAAATTTTCAAAAAATTCACACGCAGAGTTGAGGCTTTTACAAAACTCTATTTTTTATAGACCCATGGGTTGAGTGTACATGACATAAAAATGCATTTTTATTTTTCAAAAAAAAACCTAGAATTATTTGTTGGAGGTGGCTGCAGGTCCAATTTTTTGCTTTATTTTGTGTATTTGATCAAAAACTATATCTCTGATTTTTTACAGATTTTTCCATCATCTTCAAAAATCAGAAAAACAGTTTTTTAGGGAGTTTGAAAGATATTCTCCATTTTACAGACTTCAAAATAGATCAAATCAAGGTTTTTTATAGGTTATATATATTTTAAATTAAATAAGGTCTTTAGGGCATTCAAAAATTGGGCCACAATACCGCCATCTTAATTTTTTATGTTAACATATGTCCTCTCCCCTTGATGTGATATTCATTTGACGTTTCATACGTCAAAATCGGACCAATAGCAACGAGGATACAATATAGTGCCGTTTTGGCAATATCTTTTTATCTGTTTTTTGTGTTAACGTATTGGATATCCCCTCCTCTTTCATTTAACTTACTACACGTAGTAATCTGACTAATGCCAACAGAGAAACGATATAGTGCCGTTTTGGCATTGTCTTTGCGTTTCATTTTTGTCCTTACATATTCATTACCACCTCCCCTCTCCATCGATATCTTGCACGTTGTTATACGTTAAGCCGTTTAGACGTTACAAGCTTAGTGTACTTTTGACAAGCTATCTTTGTTTTTTGTGTCTACGTATTTGCTACCCCTCCCCTTTTCGATAATACCTTTTACGTCACGATCCAATGAGCCGTTTTACCCCCACAACAAAATGAGCCAAAACGAGCAGAATGGACCTTAGGAATTTCTTATGGGATTTAACATGGGAAAATACGCCGTACTCTCACAGCCCTTTTACTGTCAGGATAAATAATAAAGTTAAAAAGACACCTGTTGCAATCTGGCAACTAGTGGTTGGAGGGTTCTGACTTTATTGCCAAATATATCCGCTAACCTCTCAAAGGGCAATTGCCAAAAAAATTCTAATAATTCATTGCAATTAATATCAAACGAAACAACTATTAATTCATTAGTGTTTTATATAAGGTAAACAATTGCAGAATCCATAAAATTATATAATAAAAATGTACATTTTAAAACCTTTATCTCTTTGTATTTGAAGCATATAACATATACATTATAAGGACATGGCAACACAGCCAACGCAATATTTCGTTCTGTGAAACTTAATTGACAGCTAATTTGAGGTTATCTTCATTGAGACTAAATGTGTCAAAACGTCCACAATGTTTCTGTTTGTGAGTTTACCATTACTATTTGATAGTTTTTAACAAAGTACTGAAAAATTTATATTGAAAAATAAAAATTGTTATATTTTACCAAGCCTATTTTTTATATGTTAAGACCAACAATTGATGTATACCATTTCTATAGTAAAACTAGCATAAGAAGTATTTCTATTCGAGTGGTAAGTAATTTGTCTCATTAAAAATAAAAAAAGAAGATAGTGATTAATTATAAAAACTCTCACCTCTCCGTTAAGCTGTCTTTAACATGGTCTGGCAATTTCGAAGCACGTGTATTAGGGTACATAAAAGGTGAATCTGTTTCAACTACTAGTCGATCTAAAGGCAAAGAACCAGATTCTAAGAGCTTTCTTACCCCAACATCTGATTTGTCTTTACATAAGTAGCCTAGAATAAAAACAAAGATTAATTGACAGATATTAACTGATAGCGATTTCTATAAACTGCTGCAGCAGTTTATTTTATTTGTTTCTTGCGTAAAAACTATTCGCACACAAACTGATGCGACCTTGATACCTCTGATTTATTGCTTCTGTGTTGAAAGTAAATAAATTTTAAATGTTGTAATGCAGATAACAAGAGGATAGCAAATATGTGTCTAAGAAAACGATGTTTATCGTTAAAAAAAGGTGAAAAGATGAAAACTAATGTATTAACTGAAATTGTTAAGGAATATGTGAGTTTGGTGGTAAGGAGATGGAAATTACAGCTTTCGTGAAAAAAGTGAATAAATTTAACTCATTGCTCAAATGAAAAGACCATTCTATCCTGGAAGAAAGTAATTTTAGACAAAGATATAAATCCTGTACTAACTCTTAGCTTACAACACTTCAACCCTTCACCGATTAAGCACCTCATGAAATGTTCTGGACACTGTGGGCTGCGTACAGTCCAATTCTTCAGCAATTCCGCCCTATAATCCAGGAGTTTGCATAGTAATGCAGAAATAATTTTATTCTCCTTCCAAGTAACAAAGCTGATTCAAACTCCGTCAACTACACTAAATTCTTCTACACAAATCTAAATATCGTCTTGAAATCTGATTTACGATTTCAGCGGTTATATTGGGTGATAATTGGTCCGATCGCAATTATCAACTGTATATCTCTACATATTTATAATATAATAGATAAAACTCACCTGTTAATCCTATGTAAAACCCTTTATCTAGATACGCTAGGGCTTGCTCTAAAGTACCAGTAAAGCAATGTATCACAACTGGAGGTAGTTTGGCGCTAAATTCGTCTAAAACTTTCAATAAATCATCGTGAGCATCTCGTTCGTGAACAAATACAGGTTTGTTTATTTCGATAGCTAATTCGATCTGAAAGAAACAAAATATAAAGTTCGGTGTACTTTTAGATGTATTAACTTGGATTTCACTAAAAATTAAATGTCATATTTGTGATAAAACACTACCTGAGCGAAAATAGCAAGACGTTATGCAGATATGTACCCTAATAGAAATTTACCGGACAACAGAAAAAACAGCAAATGATAATAGACTATAGTGATGAGCATCCAGAAACATGCATGATGGTGATATGAAACGGTTGATGAAAACGGTTAAGGAATAGTTACTTCACTCCTTCCATGTAACAGCAGTTCAAGAATTAAGAAGATATAAGAAGAACTATCAAGAAGATAGCCACTGCTCTGAAACGAAACAAAATCTATCCCGTCGTAGACCAATAGTTAACAAAATAACTATTTACCTCTTGCCGGGTAATTTAGCAAGACGTTTGCTCTGCAAGTTTTAGAAAGCACAGTGTTAAAAATTTGAATTTGGTTTCACCAGGTAGAAATCGTATGATTTCTCTTTTTATTACATTATTATTTCAACAATATCCAGCATGTTGGATAGGACGTGGGTCCGATGAACAATTCAATGGATGCATGGTCCAGATCTTAATCCAATGGATTTTTGTTTTTGGGGATTTATGAAAGATTATGTTTATTCCGTAGAAATAACTAGTGCAGAACAATTAAGGAACCGAATTTTAGAAGCTGTTAATGCATTTCGACAGAGACATTTGGTTTTTCGAAATATATGGTATTCATTATTGAAAAATAAAGTATGTATGCAGTTCATTTTGAACACTCTTTTCTGTTCCTAATTGAAAAGTTAATAAGAAACTTATTATTTGTAAAAATGTAATATTGCATTTAAAAAAGTGGCTGTATCTTCTAAATTAATGATTTTACAAACAAATCCTAAGAGACAAAAACATTATAAACAAGTATTTCATTCTATTTGAGAGGGTAGATTTGAAGAACCACTCTAAACATCTAGAAAATCAGGAAAAAGATATTTTTGCTATGTAGGTTTTACTGTACTTTGGTGTACTCTTGCTTATAGATGATCTTGCAAATCGACTTATTTTTATCCCTAGAAATCGTAGTTATAATTTATGACCAGTCTTTTAAGACACTCTGTATAAAAAATCCCTTAAATCAATTTGACTTTTTAGGGAATGTGATCCATTACTCTCATCTATGCACTCTATGTATTAATGAAAATAACTGAATGACTAACAGACCATACTTTTATATTCAATAGACAGAAAAAATAGTAAATAAATTCACTGAATATAAACTAGATTTTAATTATTATTAATTTCAATACATCTGTATATTTGTGGAGGTATTATGTTTGCAATGTGATCTCTTTAGTAAATATTGATGAAATGTCATGAGTCATGCTACATTTATATGATAAATAGGTAATTTATACTCATATTTAACAGATATCATGAAATATTAATTACAATGACGGTATAATTAATTTTGTTAAAATAAATACACATAGATAATGTTTCTTTAACTTTTTATTAAATTAAAATAAAATCTAGCCCAACAAAGACCTTATATTGACAAGTAATAAATTGAAAGATTGAAGGTAGAGAAAGAAAAAAATTGAATGAATAACAGCAAAAAGAAATAAAAACCCAATAATAAAAAACAGAATCCCACTATAAATAGAAAAGGAATGAGAAACAACAATGGTATTATTTACAAACAGTACTAAAGTTGAGAAAATAAACAAATTAAATGAAGTGGATGTTGATAACCACCATGAAAATAAAAAAAAAACAGAACAAATCTAAATAGGAACTGAGTAAAAAGAGAAAATCACATAAGTAGCAATATTTAAGAATATACAAATATTCAGAAGACAAAGTATATTGAACCATGCAAAATATAGGAACATACACAACAGACTTCATAAATACTTAATGTCCTAGAACAAACGGATGAATAAGAAATTATGAGCATGCGTTAGTAGTTTAACTTAATTGGTTTGGACCAATTTCTCAGCTTAAAATTTTATTGAAATTAACATTTTCATAGTTTTAAGTTTAACTTGAAAACTAATTATATACATACATGTTTTCTGAACACTAGTTTTTGATCTTCTGGATCTGAGAAATTCCTGTTGTAGTCTAATCCACATTCTCCTATGGCTACACATTCTGCATTACTGGCTATTAGCCTCAATTCATCCCAAGATTCATCTGTATATGATTTGGCATCGTGTGGGTGTATCCCTGAAAATCGTCATTATTAATGGAAAAGGTTAATCATTAATAATTTGAGCAATATAAACTATATAGGTATATAAAATTATAAAAATTAAATAAAACCAAATCAAATGAAACAAAATTAAATGTAATTATAATAAAATAAAATAAAATTAAGTAAAATAAATAAAAAATAAAATAAAATTAACTAAAAGAAAATAAAATAAATAAAATTATAAAATATTTTAAAAATAAATATATAGATACTTAATTATGTAGATAATATTGAAAATGTATAGGATGAATAAATTCTATATTATATTTAACAAATTTTTAAACTTTTTTCCTCATCCTTTTTGGTCTTTTCTTAACAAATGTAAGATTTCTAAATATTTCCAATAAACAAAACCAGAAAGTATGCACATGATATATAAAATTTTATAAATTATTAAATGGAAATACCTGCTGTAGAGTATAAAGTATCTGGATATATTCTAGTTAACCTTAAGGCTTCCTTGCTGGCTTTTACTGATGTCCCTGTTACCATAATTTTTCTAACTCCTGAAATACATAAATGTTTAAAAGGATTAATCTTAATTACATTATTGTATATTAAAGTTGTGATCTGTGATCTTAGCCGAAAACATTGAAGATCTTCAGAGACTGGTGACCAGAATAGCAGAGTATGGAAAAGAGTATGGTCTAACAATGAATGTCAAGAAGATGAAATTTATGAGAATATCGAAAACTCAAAGAAATATCGAGAATCTTCTAATAAACGGAACCAACGTCAAACAAGTGTACAAATATGCATATCTGGGAACAATGATTAACTCCACAAATGACTACAATCAGGAAATCAAAATAAGAATAGAAAAGGCTAGAGCAAATTTCAACAAAATGAGAAGAGTACTATATACCAGGGATTTAAAACTGGAACTAAGAGTTAGGTTGGCGAGGTGCTATGTTTTTTCAACTTTATTTTATGGAATGGAATCTTGGACCTTGTATGTGACATAAAAAACTGGAATCATTCGAGCTGTGGGTGTATAGAAGAACACTGAAAATATGGTGGACAGAACATGTCACAAACAAAGAGGTTCTGGGAAGGATGAAAAAAGAAATGGAAATTTTAAATACAATAAAAATAAGAAAATTAGAATATCTCAGACATATTATAAGTGGAGGGAAATACACCCTGCTCCAACTAATTATGCAGGGAAAGATCCAAGGAAAGAGAAGCATAGGGAGGCGTAGAATGTCGTGGCTGCGCAACCTGAGAAAGTGGTACGGATGTACATCAAATGAACTTTTCAGAGCAGCCGTCTCAGAAGTCCTAATAGCTATGATGATTGCCAACCTCAGCTGTGGAGATGGCACTTGAAGAAGAAGAAGATATTAAAGTTAAATCAAGTTGAAGCCAATACATTTTTATAATCTCCATAAATACAATCTGTAGACTGCAGAATTATATAAAAATATTTAAAAAAGCCTGATAGTGGAATAGTACTAAAGATAAGATTATACAATGACAATATTTATTGGGGTTACTAAAATAATTTACAAAGACAGACCAATATTTTTTAAGACTTTGCAATAAAAATTGTTATAATCCCAAAAACTACTTCAAGGGGATTCCAAGTTTGCTATGAAGCAGAGTTTTTAATCACACAATATTATCAAAAAAATGTGAATTAATAAAACTCCCAATAGAGTTCATACCAAGATGGCATAAAATAAATATTATTAATAACTTTCTCAATATTATTTCATACAGGGTTAACTAATATAAAGTTCAAGTAGTTAAATTACTCTTTGTTGCTAAGGGATCCTGATAATACCAATGATAAGAATATACGACGAATATAATTGCTTCTAAACTGTTGATTTAAGAAACTGCCAGTTTTTAATTGAATTGATTAATTTACTTCAATTGGTAAATTCTGAAAGTTTGTCATAACTGATTGTAATTTATAAAACAATATTAAACTATTACGTCTCTAAACCGATTTTATTACTTACCCGAATCTTTAGCCCTTTGTATAACAGAATCTAAATCTCTACCATACTTTTTATTAGTTAAATTAGCACCAATATCAATAAGAATATAATTTTCATAGTATTTCTCCATATCCAATAATTCTGAATCTTGGTTTTCTACTTGAGCTGCCATCTTATATAATTATTTTCAAGAATGATTAATTGATTTAAAATTAGTAAACACAATAAATAAATATGTTCTAATTATAAAAATTAAGCAGTAAAAACATTTGGACCCAATCCCACTTCCCGTGTTCGTGTCAAAAATTGTCAAAAATCAAATTCATGATAACAACATGAATTACTAACAACAGAACGCTCTGAAGTTTGTAACGTTTTCAAAGATTCCCATAGGCGTAGGCACGCGTAGGTAGCTGATAAGAATTTGAAAGAAATTTATTCTGAAACTGTTTCTTTGTACAATGGCAACTTAATTTTTTCAAATATCTTTTTGGAAATTAGATTCTAAACCACAATCCTAAAGATTAACTAATATACATCACAAAAACCATGTCTAATTATTATTTAAGAATAAAATCGTATAAGTAAAAATTATTATTCTTTTAACAGAAGATTATCTATCATTAAACTTTTAAAACATTTAACATTAAACACAAAATCGTATGCGAAATACCATGAGGAAAATGTATTTCAAACATTGGTTACGTTCACCAGAATCATTACATTTTGCCCCCTTATTTGTTTCAACTAGCTGACAATACGCGCACTAAATATGTTAAAAAATCGGTTTCAAATATTTTCTCCAAGTCCCAATTTTCTATATTATGAAACACCAAAGTTTACCCAATTATCGCTAGTTTCACATCAGCAGCACAGAATAATTGTTTATTATTCTGTGTCAGTATCCTGAAAGTAAAATTAGTCCACAGAACACATATAAATGAATTTTGACAAAGTTGACACGTTGACACTGTTGACAGCATTTTTTCCCGCGCTTTTAGTTTACTGTCTACAGAAATTCTGATCATAATATAAAATTTTATTTGTACTTGTATCACTCAGTATCACTTCTTTTCACATTTCGTTGACCTTTTTATTAAGAAGTTAAGGTAATAAACTTTTTGTAATTGAACTTTGCGATTTAATTTTTGGACTAATAAGCGCGTGCATTGAACTTTTTGTAGAAGAATAGTTATTCAGAATGCCTTCTCCCGCACCTTCCCAAGATGGCTCAAGAACACCTAGACGTTCAGGTAGAAACCCTGGAGGATCTCAAACTCCGACAAGAAACGAAGATACTCCATCCCGTAGAGGCAACGCTACACCCAGAAGGGAAGAATTACCCACCACCGATGGATCTCGGACACCATCACGTAGAGGCAACGCTACACCAAGAAGAGAGGATCCTTCTCCTGCTAAAAGCACTGCATCGTCAGTTAGAACACCAAGAAGGGGACGTAATACTCCAGCTAAAAGTATTTCAACAGTCGATACCCCAATGCGTTTTGGAGCTCCTAGAAATGACATTGATGCTCAAAGCGAAATTCCTTCATCTCCTGCACATAGTTTAGCGCCCACAAGTCCTGGTACAGGTATAGTATTTCTGTTTGTTTTAACCTGGTATATGTACTATTTAAATTCTTTACTAGTTAGTACCTATCCATATCACATACAATTTCTAGTCTATCTATATATTACACAGTTTTGTAAGATACTACAAAATCCTTGTAGCTTTTGACCAGATATTCCAAGTATGACTGGAACAAAAACAGATTTTTATACAGTTAATACAAAAACCTAAAATTCCATGAATAATATAAAAAATAATAGTCTCTTATTTTATGAGTCTTCTCCTGAAGTGATTACATTAGTAAGTCAAATATTATATAATTGCAAACCTGTAAAAAAAGTTAAAATATGGCATTGAAGCCCTCGTAATAATATATTCTTCATAAATTATTTGAAAAAACAAGCTGTAGCAATTCAATTTAACAAATATTCAATAATTTTACCTTGGATTAAATTTAAAGTATTTTGATAAAACTAATATTACATTTAAATAGGGTTGGCAATGAGTGAAATAGATCTAAGCTCCCCACTCAACTATGGAACTCCAAGTTCTTTGGGATCAATTAGGACGCCAAGATCAGGTATTAGAGGCACCCCAATTCGTATGAGACCTGATGTTCGTTCTGATAAGAGAATAAGACAAGTCAATGTAGGAGGAGATGCAGCTGTAAGTATCAAAGCATTTAAAAATTAACATGTATTATTTATAAATTTACCTACTAATTTTGGACACACTCACATTTGGTGGAATCCCACCAGTATTATTAAAGCACTGTCTATGCTCTCTTACTATGCCCCTAAAATATCTTTATAATTTATCTCTTATGACTGGTGAGTTCCCTCCTTTCTGGAAGAACAGTTATATTGTACCCATTTTTAAGTCAGGTAAAAGGGAAGATATTGAAAAATACTGAGGAATTTGTATACAGTCAGCAATCCCAAAACTTCTCAACAAACTAGTGACTTCTCACTTATCAAAACTAGCAAATAATATAATAATATCCCAACAGCATGGCTTTCAAAGGGGTAGGAGCACAGTGTCAAACTTGTTGGTCTACCAAGATGATATATTGGGTGCCTTTGAGAGGAAGTACCAGGTAGACAGCATCTATACTACTTCTCAAAGGCATTCGATAAAGTAAATCTTCGTTATTTAATCAGTAAATTAGAAGCCATTGGTATAGCTGGCAAATGGCTTGATTGGTATGATAGTTTTCTTGTGGGTAACACCCAGAGCATTAAGATAAATGGTGTGTTGTCTCAATCTATTGACATCCTCTCTGGAGTAGGGTAAAGTGGGGTAAGATGACGAATCGGGTAAGATGACGAATTCCCGATATTTTTTCAACATACAACTCTGGCAACACTGTCTTCAGTCAGGACCGAACAGATATTCTAAGGTTTCTCGCCTTTGACTACAAATAGGTTAGCGGCCAGAGTTTAGTATGATACAAGTGTTGGTACTGATATTGTGTTAGTGCTAACAATATTATTGTTTTCGAAAATAAGGTTTTAAAGGTTTTTGGTAAGTATAGGATAACTGTTGTATTTTTTGTTCGAAACTAATATCTTTTACGTATAAATTACTTACAGAAAATATTTGGTATGAATAATAAATTTGACTTTACGATTTTTAGAAAGAAAGATGACACTTGTGGGTAAGATGACGAGTTATTCGTCATCTTACCCGAATTAACTAAAATTGACAGTAAGTCATACCTACTTTCAATTTCAGATTTAAATATGGGCAAAATATACAAAAGAAAGACAGACAGACAATCTTGGTCGAAAGAAAATATAAAAAGAGCAATGGCTTAAATAACTGCTCATCAGGTAAGTGCCAATGCAGCCTCAAAAGCATATATTCCAGAACCTACTAGATCTGATAGATATAGATAAACGGGCATTTTTATTAACCACGGATCAGTTTAGAAAAATTGCTTTCGACTTTGCCGTTCATTGTGGTGTTGCTAATATATACTACAAAGAAAATGGTTGGTAAAGACTTTGCACAATCCTTTTGCAGCATACTCACGAGCTTGCGAAGATTTTTTGATCAGTAATCCGGGTCGTCTTATAACATTGTATGACATTGCAACCCTATTTGGGAAAGCGTACTTAAAAGCAGCAACTGTTTCAAATACTCTTAGTGGTTTTAGAGCCACTGGCATATATCCTGTTGATAGCCAGGTGTTTGATATACTTGATTTTGAGGCATCTTTGGCAATAGTTTGGCAACTACCCCTGCTTTGGAAAATGTAAAGGTCGAAGAGGAAATGCTCGATATTTAAAGAATGTCACCGATATATGTTTTAAAAGAAACAGTACCTCAAGAACCTGTTGAAATATCTGACGAAATTTTAGATATTTCTATTCCAAACATGCCTGTTCCATCTACATCAGGAATAGCTGGTCGAACACCCCCTCATGTATCAAATCATATATTGAATAATGGTCTGCCTAAATTACTTGTTGCTGAAGTGAGAGCAAAACGACCCAGAAAGAAATTACCATCTCTCGTTATTTCCAGTACACCAATAGTAAAGATTTTAGAAGAAAAGGAAGCTCCAAATTAGCAAAAGAGAGGAAAAGGGATATAACAGAACAGAAGAAAATTGGAAAAGAAATAGAAGCAAAGACTTTAATTTTCAGCAAAAAATAGAAAATTCACTCTCGATAAAGGCAAAGGAAAAAGACTAAGAGACAAGTAAAATTTGACGACTCATCTAACTCGTCAGTAGATATGGAATATGCTGACACTGATAACGATTCAGAGGAAGAAAGAGATTGCATAATCTGCAATGAAAGAGGAAAAGATGAGCTATGGTATTGCTGCAGCAGGTATAGGGAATGGGCTCACGATGAATGCACTGGAATGGATAGTCAAGAAGCAAAGGTGAAACAATGGACGTGTGATTGGTACTTTTAAAAATGTAGGACCTACTACAAGTGCTGCATTAGTTACAAAATAAATGCATTTTACTTTAATTTGTTTACTTTCCTGCCTATATATATATATATATATATATATATATATATATATATATATATATAACTGACTTTTTTTTCTTAGAATAGGCATACCTCGTCATCTTACCCTTCACAATTAGTCATCTTACCCTCCACGAAGGGTAAGATGACGAATATGACATAGGTAGATAAATTTTAAAATTTTAATTTGAAATATTAACCCTTACGTAATCTAATTTTAATATGTAAAGTACTACTATCAGCCAATTACCTTGTAGTTACATGCATTCGATACAAGGAAAAATATCAGTTCTAGGATTTTTTTAAGCTTACTATCGTCATCTTGCCCTCCTTTCCCCTACCACAGGGGTCACATTGTGGTCGTCTACTTTTTGACCTCTTTGTTAAAGATGTTGAGAAAGTCATTAAGTATTCAAAATTTCTCAACTTTGTTGATGATAAAAAAAATTTATAAAGTCATTACTTGTCAGTATGATCAAATTCAGCTACAAGAGGATCTCAGCAGATTTAGGGATTGGTGCAAACTAAATGAATTAATATTGAACATTGATAAGTGTTGTGTTATTACTTTTCACAGGAAACAAACAATTTTAAATTATGATTATAGCATTGATAACACTCAGCTGTCTAGACAGGACTGTGTTAAGGATTTAGGTGTTTATTTTGATTGTAAATTAGCATTTCGTAAGCATCTAGAGGTCACAGTAAACAGTGCATTTAAACAATTAGGGTTTATAACTAGAAAACACTTCTCAATTTTCATGTTTTGTTTTACCAATTCTTTTTAATAGTCTCATTTGCTCCAGACTAGAATATGCAATAGTTGTATGGGGACCTTACTATCAAACATCTATAGACAAGCTTGATCATGTTCAGCATAAATTTGGTAAACACTATCATTACTGTAGTGCTTTTGATGACCTCTCTGTCCCATACAGTTATAGTATGATAGCTGATCACTTGAAAATGGTTTCTATGAATCAGCGAAAAGATTATTTTTCCCTAATATTCCTTTACAAAATTGTTAATAATTTGATAAATTGCCCTGAACTTTTAAATCGATTTGGTCTTAACACTCTTCATGGAACTAGGCATACTTCATTATCCCATCTACCATTTCATCAATTTAATTATGAATACTTCAAGCCTCTTACTCATATGGTGAGACTATATAATAGGTACTAAAGTGATCTGGACTTATTTTTCCAGTCCTTAGAACAATTTAAAAATGTGCTAAAGATACTAACCAATACCAAATGAGAACAAATGCCGAGGTCAAATGTATAGTGCTAGCGACGTAGTCCAAGAGATTAAATCCCAACGTCTAAGATGTTCATAGGCTCCCTAATAACCGCCTTACCAAGTTAATCTGGGAAGAAGTCCCGACAGGGAGAAGGCCGTTAGAACGTCCACGAATGCGATGGAGAGATAATATATGGTCAGATTTGAGAACAATGGGGCTACCCACTGACTTAAACATCATGGACGACTGTTCAAGATGGAAGCAGGTTGTGCAGTCAGCCAAGACCCACCCCGGGTTGTAGTGCTACCAGAAGAAGAAGAAGAAGATAAAGATACTACTATTTGTGTCATATTAGTTTGTATTCAAGTTAATTATTAGTTTTTGTTAAACTTACTAATTATTTTCCAATGTTATGCTTACTTTGTAAAATTTTATATATTATATTTTGTTCCAATGTAAAAGGTATATCCGTTAATAAATAAATAAAATAAAATAAAAAATATTTCATATAGTTTTTTATGATTCATAGATAAATAAATACTAATTTATAGGTTAATATCTATTTAATTTTCTGCACTATAATAAAAATTATACATAATACAGAATATCTCCCTATATTTAATTAAGCCATTATATTGTGTTTTCAGATATTAGTTTTAGTTTTGTTTTCACCATTTTCTTTGTTGAATCTGAGTATTTATTATCTTCATTCTAAAAATCAATTATTTTTAATACCCAATTTTTGTATTATTAATAAATTGTGTAATTTATTAGAATCTGAGAAGCATCTTTAATTCACGAAACACTTTTTTCTTACAAACCTCAATAAGCTGTAATTTTTTTAAAGGTGCTCTACAGTAAGGACAGCTGTAATTCCAACTATTTTTATTTCGAAAAGTGTAAAGGCAATCTAGGCAGTATGCATGACCACATTTTGACCTAATCGGCGTTGTCAGTAGATTAAAGCAAATTGGACAGTCTTTATTGTATATAATTGTATCTAAAACAGAGTTATAGAATTACAATCAGCTTTAGTTTGTTATTATAACGTAAATAATATAACTGAGTATTTGGTTAGTACTGAACAGACATTAACAGTCCAGTATTCTCCAAGAGATCTTTTGGTATAGGATTTTAATCACAAACACAATATGTCTCAGAGGCGTTGGTCCAGGACTAAAAATTGATTTATTGTGATTGTCATGAGAACAGAAAATGAAGTATGAAAGACATACATAGTATTAAAAGAAGCAATAACAAAAATATATTTAATAACAAACCCAGTTATGAATGTGATGGCCACTTGATATTATTATATAAGAATCATTATATGGAAGCAGTTAACAACTTTGTTTACCTAGAAGCACTTATATTTAGAGCTCAATATCCTTCTCAAATATCACATTGATTACCAATTTACTTCATGTAGGTATTCACCAAGAATGTTATGTTTCTCATAGTTTAATAAAACTTACAAAGAAGTAAAAACTTCTGGTGTATAATGTTAATAACTATAATTATTTTATTGGAAAGTTATTAAAAAGGATTACAATTATTCCAAAACATTTTTGGTTCAGTCTGACCATCATCAGTGAAACATTTTAAAAGGTAGTTGAAACTATCCCCTGAAATAGGTTTAAAAACCTTTAAATTAGATGACAATCATTGTTATATTTATTAAAGCGGTGACACAAAGTCGATGTTGAGATTTCACCTTAAGAGGAACATAGTTTTTCCCTGTTTGAAAAAGGATTAATTTGCCCACCGGGTGTTAGTAGCCCAATAGCCAATTGATTTGGCTTGTTATACAAACTATAATTGTTAAACAAATATGGCGGCATTGTTAAATGGGCACTATATCACATCTTTGCTGTTATTGCCCCAATCACGACGTAAGAGACGTCATATGAAAGGGGATTGGATGTAGATGAACTTTTAATAGACAAAATAAACAGCGGCAGTGCCAAAGAGGTACGATATATCCTTTTATTGTTTTTGGTCCGATTTTGACGTGTGAAACGTTTGTTTTGTTGTTTTTTAATTTTTTAATGTTCGTTAATTATCGACTTAAAGAATTTTGGATGGCGAATTGCGCTGTTATGTTCGTTTTAAAAAAATGTTATGTATAAGGCCGCTTTGACATCCCATCTCCGAGTTGCAGGATGATTATTGTCATGTGTTTCACATGTCAAATGGTACATACATTGCCTCTTGCCTTTTAAATATTAGCAATCATGCTGCCAGACGTCCATGTCTAAAGAAGGACATAGCACAACTGACACATATTTATCAGTGGACTTTGCCACAACGACATTATGTGGTTGCATGACAACTCAAACATCAAAATCTGATCAATAACAGCAGAGGTATAATACAATGTTCTTTTGATAATGCCACCATTTTTTTTATTAAAATTCATCTTTGTCCAATCTACTTTCATATGATGTCTCTTACGGCACGATCGGACCAATAACAGCAAATATACGATATAGTGCCCCTTTAACAATGCCGCCATATTTGTTTTTCTATGAAAACCATATTCGTTATCCCCTCTCCTTTCCAACAAACCCTCTTACGTCATAATCGGACCAATAACAACGAAGATATAATGCAATGCCCTTTTGGCATGCTCCAATACACATGACACATAGTGCATTCAACCCTATTTTTCATCCCCGTTTCAACGATACCTGACACGTCATCCTACGTTATGCTGTTTAGCAATTACGACCGGGGGTTGAAAAGAGCATGAAACGCCGTTGCTATGTATATCGATACATAGCAACGGCGTTTCATTTAGGGGATGTGATTAAAGTAACTTTGTCTATCTATTCATATTAACAGCTGTAAATTAAGTTCGAATAGGTGATATCCGATCTCCGATAAGGGAGGCAAAAAAGGAAGAAAATGTATCCAACTAGCGTTAGGGGTGAACCCACTAGAGCGTCACTGGTTTCTGGTTCTGGTATATGTTCATAATAACATTTTTTGAAAATACTTCGAAATGGAAACATAAAAATATGTAATTTTTATTACAATTCATTATAAATAATTCCCATATATAAAATATTCAGTTCTGTTTTACTCTGCCAAAAGCTCGTTTAAAGTCGATAAATAGGATCACTGTAGACTTCCCATATTCGTAGCTTTCTGTTTGTATTTCGCTAGCAGGAAAATTTGATATACTTGTGGAGCTTTTTTAATATATCTACTCTTAAAAAGTGAGCGTATTCTTAGAGAAATATTCACCATACTTTTAACACTAGCAGTTCATTTTTTACCAATGATTTTTTTCCTGTAAAATCTCTGCCATGTTTTTCATAATCGATTCGTATAATAACTGTGTACTGGTCTACGCTAAACAATGTTTCCAAATATTCCACAGCGTGCGATCAATGGAAGTGTCAAATTTTATTGATCTCATGAGAATCGTAAAAAATGGCAACGTTTATTTAACAGCTTTATAGAAACTGGCATAATTTGCGGAAAAATGCACTCTTCATCTTCAAAACTCATTTTATCTGACAATCTTATCAAAAGATATCGAAATTTTACCGTCGAGTTAAAATAATATTTTTTAACTAACATTTAAAGTCGCTTCAAGCGTTGTTTCTGAGAGACCGGTTCATTTAACACAAGAAGTGCTAATAAATATTTTTGTTCAAAATTATCTCAGCTACATTTCTTATTTGAAACATTTTTTTCTACGGTTTACAGATTCTTTGGAAATCGATGTTTTTCGTTTTTTCCCCTACAAGGGGTGTCGTAAAGGGAAGCCCGGGAATAGGAATGGTAAACTATTTTGCAACTTTTTTCATCATCATCATCTTGGTGCTACAGCCCTTAGAGCGCCTCAACCTTCTCAAGCTTTCTACGCGATTCTGTTCTGTCCCTTGCTTGTATTTTCCAGTTGCCGACTCCGATCTTCTCCGCATCTTGTGTTACCCCATCCATCCACTCCAGCTTTGGTCTACCCCGTCTTCTTATTCCCACGGGTTGCGCTGTTAGAATATTTTTTATCGTGTTCGATTCTGGGGCTTACATGTCCTGCCTAATGCAGGCGGTTTCGCTTAATTATAGTGGTAGTATCTTTACCACCAAACGTATGCTTGTAGATATTCTGCAGTTCAAAGTTATATCTACGCCTCCATATTCCGTTCTCACAGACTGCTCCGAATATCTTGCGTAGCACCTTTCTTTCAAAAATCGATAGAGCGGATTCATCTGTTTTAGTTAGCGTCCATGCCTCTGATCCATATGTGAGAACGGGGACTATCAGTGTTCTATACAGCCTTATACGAGTTTTTGAGACAGACGTTTGTTAGCAAAGTACTTTGATAGACCATGATGATACCTGTTTGCAATTATTATTCGCCTTTTTATTTCCTCAGATGTGTTATTATTGGGGTTAATCGATGTCCCTAGATATATGAACTCTTTGACTGCTTCGAAGTTTTGGTCATTGATGATTAAATTTGCGTCAACATTTCCAGCTCTTGTGTTTGTGTTAGTCGCCATGAATTTGGTTTTATTTTGATTTATATGTAAACCCCATTCGTTCTATGCTACTAGCTCGGTTAGGATTTCCGCAGTTATCGCCGTAGTTCTTGTTATAATGTCCACGTCGTCTGCATATGCTAGAATTTGGACTGATCTATTAAATATCGTTTCCCTGCTATCTAAATTTTTTCTAAGGCGACATTAAAAAAGCTGACACGCCAGCGCATCTCCCTGCCTTAACCCGCTATGTATTTGAAATGGGGTTGACGAGTCGTTTTGAATTTTTACTGCTGATAGCATGTTCACCATTGTCACTTTTATCAAACATATGAGTTTTTTTGGAATTCCTAACTCATTCATAGCGTTGTAAAGACTTGATCTTTAGACACTGTCATATGCCGCTTTAAAATCGACAAAAATATTGTACATATCTATGTTAAACTCTTGCGCTTTTTTGAGGATCTGTCGTAGTGTAAAGATCTGGTTAATGGTTGAACGTCCACGCCTGAATCCTGCCTGATTCTCCTAGAAACATTTCGGTATAAGGCTTTAATCTCTTGTGCAAAATGTTTGACAATATCTTGTATGCTGTATTTAGGAGAGTTATTCCGCGGTACTTATTGCATTCCAGTTGGTAACCTTTTTTGTATAACGGGCAAATAAAGCCTAAACTCAATTCTTCAAGTATTTGATCCTCAGACCAAATTCTACAAACAATTTCTCGCATCACCTTAGTGAGCTGCTCTCCACCGTGCTTAAATAACTCTGCTGGGATGTCATCGCTACCTGGGGACTTGTGGTTCCTTAGTTTTTCTATAGATATTTTCACTTCATCTACCGAGGGGAGTTCCACGAGTTCCTCATTTCGGTATTCCAGCTCTATATTGTTAGTAGGTTCCCCTTCCAGCAACTCTCGAAAGTGCTCTACCCATCGTAAAAGAATATCCCCTTTGTTGGTAAGTTACCTTCCTTATCATTACAATAGTTGATTCTTGGTTTGAATTCTTTTCTAATAATATTTATTTGACGATAGAATTGCTACGCTTTCCGTTTTTTAAAGGGAAACCCGGGAGTAGGAATGGTAAACTATTTTGCAACTTTTTTAGGGTCCCAAAAATTGACATCCACAGCAAAAGCCAGCTTCGTTTGCAGTACATTGCCATTCTAGAAAAAGGATCCAAGTACAGTAAAGATCTATACCTTTTTGTGATAATAAAGTATTATTTACAGAAATATTAGCTAAAATTCTCCATAAAGATAGTGTAAATTCGGTATTTACGTGTTTAAAATTTTCTAATAAATATTAAAGAGATCTAGATTAAAACTTTGATTCATTTGTCTCAAAACGTATAAATGTTACATAGACCCTACATGCATTTGTGTATTTAATTGTAATTGCAAAATAGTTATTTTAAATGTATTACCTTCAGGCTTTATAACTCTTATTTTTCTACATGTATTGAAGATATAGCACGAACATAAAAAGCTGGTTAAAATTATAAAAAAAGGAATTACGTATTCGCTTGTTATTTGTTCTTTGTGTTCTCTAACTGTATCCATTGTAATTTCATTTAAAAATTAATATTAATCCTTATTTCTTTTAAAAATATGTATAGGCATCGACTAAAAAAATATATTTTGACGGAATTTTCTTCTTATTGATGTAAAATGTCATTCATGACATATCATTAAACATGTTCAGAAAGATAAATGATTATAAATTTTTAGTATGAAGCAATAGGCCAGGGAAATAAGATTTTTTTTGACACTGAACCGGCCAGGCAAACGATAGTTTAAAAATCTTTAAAATGGCGTTTTTAGATGTTTTTATCCTTATTTGTTGCTCAGAAAGTTGCAAAATAAGTCGGAAATTTCGGTTTTTTATTAATGAATAATTTTTTTTTAAATAAATTTATAACTTTCATATTACACAGAAATTTGGTTCTTGTTGTGGTTAAAGTATGATTACAATTTCAAAACTATCGGCCAAATAGTTTAAAAGTTATTGAATTTGTTTATCCCAAATTAAATTTTTATTCAACAATATAATTAAAAAAATATGTAGAGTATTAAGTTACAATAATTATACAAATAACTTATGAAAGAAGAAGATTTATTCTATCAATGATATTAAAAAAACTAAAAACGATTTTAAATATTTCAAAATAATTTCGCAAAAACATGTCGATTTTTTGCTTATAGACAATTAGAAAAACTTTTTAACTGTTGCCTACACGAAAATTATTTTTTCATATTTGGAAAGCCTGTACTTTCTACAAATTCTAAAAAATAGTTGTTTTAGGACAATTTGACAGCGCTAGGCGCGTTGCTGGCAGATGACAATATTTATATGAACGCGCCAGGCGCGTTGCCGGAGATGAACGTGTTAAACAAATCCAATATTAGATATTTAATTAAGACAACTATTGTTTTTAGTTGGAAGCCATACCAGAAACTCAGGAATCCGATTCCACTGCTCCACATTTGGTCATTTGGGGAACCAATGTATCAGTAGCGGAATGCAAGGAAAAATTCAAACAGTTCATTTTGCGTTTTATCGATCCCAATGCGGAAGAAGATGAAAGAACTGATGACATGAATCTCAATGAACCTCTATATATTCAAAAACTAGAAGAAGTAAGTATATATTATGTATAAATTCATAAGATTTTTTATTTTCTCTTATTTAATTTAACCTCTTTTTAGATTCATACACTAGACGAGCCATTCTTAAATGTAAACTGCGCTCATTTGGAAACATTCGATGCTAATTTATATAGACAGTTAGTGTGTTATCCACAAGAAGTAATACCAACCTTTGACATGTGCGTTAACGAAATGTTTTATGAAAGATATCCAGCTGCTGTTTTAGAACACCAAATTCAAGTTAGACCTTTCAATGCAGAGAAAACAAAGAACATGAGAGCTTTAAATCCCGAAGGTACATTAATTTTAATTTTAAATAATTGTAACAATAACAAGATGCGATATTCCTGTTTTCTTTACTTAACAGATACAGTGTTTCAATTCCAAGAAATGAATATATAACCCATACATTTTGTAACAGTTAATGTAGACTCACTCATTGTTTTGTCAAGGTTACCGGTATACTGTTCAGTGTTAATCGTGCTATAGTTGGGCCGCTGAACAGATATAATTATCACGTGAACGCCATGCGCTGGTTACGAGTTGCAGTTCCCAACGTCACAAGTTCGATTTACACTAGGTCAAGACGAGAGATACAATTATCGCAGTGAATACGGTAAAACCCATAATATGAAGTCTAACAATACATCTAAGAGACTCATTAATATTCAGCTCATCGTGGTGCTATTGTTAAAGGTCTGAAATTATACAAATAAGGGATCATTTCATAAAACAGGTAGATTCCTTGTTTATGGAATTTCACTAACAATAGCACCACACTGAGCTGAATATTAATGAGTCTCCTAGAAATCTGGTTAGACTATATATATTGAAATCTTAATTATATTTGTCACTGTAATGATGGAGTTATGATATTTACAATTTATTATTATTTATGTAGTATGAATAGTTTCGGACCAACTAGTCCGAAAATTCATATAAAATTGAAATTTCTGTATTTTAATTATCGTCTTCCGAAAAGACGATTCAAAAACAATAACAATTCATGTATACATATGAATCATCTGTAATACGAGGTATGCTGCATACAACGATGTAACGATTGCTGATCAATGTTTTTTTTCGGTTTTGTCAGCCATTTTAAGTAAACAAACTCCTTGATTCCGTTCGCGCTATTTAAAATCAATCCCATCGAATGATTAATTTCCAAACCATTACAGGCTTCGAACCAAAATCAAATCTGCTGCGTTGGAATATGATTTTATGTAAAAATTTATTTAATGTCAGTAATGAGTTTGAAGCCGCAAATAATACGTTACATAATCAATAAAATGATGGTATTAATATACTGTATTTAAAAAAATGGCCCAATTTTCATTGAAAAGTTCCGGATTTGGATGTAACTGATAAGATGTATAACTGATCTTAGCCGAAAATATTGAAGATCTTCAGAGACTGGTGACTAGAATAGCGGACTATGAAAAAGAGTATGGTCTAAAAATGAAAGTCAAGAAGACGACATTTATGAGAATATCGAAAACTCAGATGGCCCAGAAAAGCACCTTCCGAAATAAAACTGTGTAAAATCTTCCTAAGCATGTTTTTTTTATTTTACTCAAATATTCATTTGAGCGCATATCCCAAATTGCTGGCGGTGTGTGAATTTCGGTAATTAATTTATTGATATCTATAGCTTCCATAATATATACCAAATTGGGCAAACACTCACAAGCGTAATCCAATAAAACCGTTGCAAAACAGTCACACATCTGTGTTAAAGCACGAGATATCTATTACTGATGTGCCGCCAGAAGTCATAAAACCGGTGACGGCGCATAGTACTCAGCATAGGCCGCGCGGCGGCCGACGCGGCGAGCTGACGAACGACGTCTCGTCTAGAATGTCATGGCTACGCAACCTGAGAGAGTATTACGGGTGTACATCAAATGAACTTTTCAGTGCAGCCGTCTCAAAAAGTCCGAATAGCTATGATGATTGCCGACCTCCGCCGCGGAGATGGCACTTAAAGAAGAATAAGATAAAGCCAAACTGATCATAGGATATTTCGGTTTCTTCACGTATCCGTCTATCAATCACTCTCTCCCATATTTTTATAGTGTGACTAAGTCGTTTTATGGCCCCCTAGTTTGTACATAAATATTAAAATAATAACATTTTAATATGAACTTAATTTTTTTTTATTGATTTTAGATATTGATCAGTTAATTACAATTAGTGGCATGGTCATTAGGTCATCAAACATAATGCCAGAAATGAGAGAAGCTTTCTTTAAATGCATTGTGTGTCAATTTACATCAACTGTAGAAATTGATCGAGGCCGCATCACCGAACCAACGTTATGTTCCAGCTGTAACACCAATCACACCTTTACTCTTGTCCATAACAGATCACAGTTTACTGATAAGCAGATGATCAAATTACAAGAATCTCCAGGCAAGTAATTACAATGTAGTACTAATTTTAAAGTGGTTATTTGCTCTTTTATTATTATTCTTGTAATATTGCTTATTGTTGTAATATTATAAACCATCTTACATTAAGGTGGAGGTATCAGAGTGGATAAGGAGATGGACTTACAATCAATTGGACTATTGTCTCATGTATTCAAATCCTGTCTATCGTAATCATTTTTATTTGTATATAAAATTAAACTTTATAAAATAAACTATGATAGCTAGTTCAATTTTGATAGTAAATTCATTATCTACCTGAAAAAATGCGTCTAAATAGTATGTAATATTTTACTTCAGGTGTCGAAAATTATTAGGATTCCTTAAGTAGCTCTGTGGTGGGCTTATTATTTATTTTGATCCATAAACTTTCGTAAAAATTGATATTGACGCCACTAAAGTTATTGTATTTTATTTTAGACGATATGCCTGCTGGTCAAACTCCGCATACCGTGGTTCTCTTTGCTCACAACGATTTGGTAGATGCCGTCCAACCTGGTGACAGAGTTACTGTTACTGGAATATACAGGGCACAACCCTTGCAAATAAATCCCAGACAAAGAAACATACGCTCAGTATATAAGACGCACATAGACGTGTTACATTTCCGTAAAATTGATCAAAGAAGATTGTATGAGGAAGAAGATGGGTAGGTGGTTATATTAATAAAGTATTGCCACATTAACTAGGTTAAAAAGATCACTACTATTAAACATTTTTATTTCAGGAAAGATCGCCGTTTTACACCCGAAAGAGTTGAACTTTTAAATATTTTGTCGCAAAAACCTGATATATATGATAGACTTTCAAGAGCTATTGCTCCTTCTATTTACGAAAACCAAGATGTCAAAAAGGGTATTCTTCTGCAACTATTTGGAGGTACAAAGAAAACCTTTGTTACTTCGGGCAGAACCAATTTCAGAGCTGAGATTAATATTTTACTGTGTGGTGATCCAGGTGAGTTGTTTAGCCATATATTCAGTTCCTTGCTAGTATCTGATATCTTTGTTTTCATTCTTTTTTATTATTTAACATAGAACAGTTAAAATTGCTCGAGAAGGTCTTGCGTTAGAAGACATTTTGATTTTGAAGACTACTCCTGAGTATTTGATCATGTTTTATATTTTTAGGTACATCAAAATCTCAACTTCTTCAATATGTCTATAATTTGGTACCAAGAAGCCAATATACTTCAGGCAAGGGCTCTTCAGCTGTGGGTTTAACAGCTTATGTAACCAAAGATACAGAGACCAAACAACTTGTACTACAAACAGGTGCGCTAGTATTGGCGGATAATGGAATTTGTTGCATAGACGAATTTGACAAGATGAGTGATTCAGCTCGAAGTGTACTTCATGAGGTAAGTGGTTAATAGTTAAACAATGTTGCACTATAATATAGCAGTTTTGAAAAAAATGTGATTTTTTAATTTTTAGGTAATGGAACAACAAACCCTTAGTATTGCAAAAGCTGGTATTATTTGTCAGTTAAATGCAAGAACTTCAATTTTAGCTGGTGCCAATCCAAGTGAATCTCAATGGAATAAACATAAGACAATCATTGAAAACGTTCAATTACCACATACTCTTTTATCTAGGTAAGTCATATGTTAATTTACATAAAGAAATTTAAACAAAGATAACCAACATGAATTAAGAATTGCCGTATAAAATTGACGAATGTAATGGTGAATTGTGAAGCGGTGTTACTTTCTTCATTCGCTACTACATTCCTTGGAACTTCCCTGTGATTTCCAAAGCTCTTTTAGTCATATTCCAGATCAAACCATCCAACACATAGTGAAAACTTGTGAATTGAGGGCATATCGAGGGGACCCAAAAGACTTTTTCAAAACTACACCTGCGCAAGCCTTGAATGGATAGCTCAACTTGACTTAAAGATATAACCTTATCTGTTTGTATTATCTTATATTTTATCTGTATTTTGTCTATGTTCGTTTTTTATAATCTTATGTTTGTATTTTTGAATTATGTACTTACGTTTTTTACAATTATTACTGTATTTACTCCATTTATTGAGCCATACGCTAAATAAATAAATAAATCTTCGCAAAGTTTATATACTTCTACGGGTTTATTTACAAAATTTACTTAAGCGACATAAGAAAAGACGGCAAGACAACTTGAGTTTAGAAAACGATGCATGTTTTGTTTTTAGTAAAATCTTTTCTATTGTATCGATAATACTATTACAGCTCAATAATTATTTTATATACAAGCTAGAACTGTTATTTTATTTTATATTTTGCGTAACACTTTGCGAGGAATTAACTTTTTCTAAAATATTAGCAAATAAAATCAAGGTCATCCTTATGATTCCAAAATATATAGGCGTATTGTATTCATATGTAACATTTTTTAGATTCGATCTAATATTTTTGATTCTGGATCCACAAAATGAGATTTTCGACAGACGATTAGCTCGGCATTTAGTATCACTTTACTACAAAACACGAGATCAGGAGGACGATGAAGTTTTGGTGAGCTTTTTACGTAATATAATATTTAAGTGTAATATTAATAGTTTTACATAGTTTTTAATCGTATGTTTTATTTTAGGATATGTCAATATTAAGAGATTACATATCTTATGCCAAAGAACATATTAATCCCAAACTAAGTGATGAAGCCTCCCAAAAGTTAATTCAGTGCTACGTAGATATGAGAAAAATTGGTTCTGGTAGAGGCCAGATATCGGCATATCCGAGACAATTGGAGTCATTGATCCGCCTTTCAGAAGCTCACGCTAAGGTCAGATTTTCTGAAAAAGTAGAAGTGGAAGATGTTGAAGAAGCTGACAGGTAATGTTTGTGGTTTATTTGATTCTGACTAATAGGTTTCACAGATATTATTTGGAAAATACCAAATATCTTATTTTTAATTAAAAGGCGTAATTTTTCGTCCAGTTTAAATTTAATATAATACACCTGCTCCTTCCTAATGCTTTTCTAGTACTGTCTTGATTTATTATGCTTTATGAAAGACCAACCCACTATAAACTCATGCAATACGCATGGCATAACAAACTAGTCCTGTTCTTGTTGTGCTCGTTACTACAGTGGCCTTACTTTGACGACGTGACGTTGCCAAATAATTTTGTGTGAAGCTTTTTTATTGTGGCGGTATAATACAGTTTATTATTTGTATAGGGAATAAGGCACAATGTGACTTTAAAATAAGCCTATTTTAATGTTTAGATTTCCAATTCCGAAATCGTATTTAAAATACGAAACATTAATAAATTTTATTTATATAAAATGATTTTCGAAGTGGAAATCAAAATAATAAATTAAACTTATTATAAAGGAAAATTGTCGCATATTCCCAATAAAAAACATTAAGCTGCAATTTGATTCTCTTAGAACATTGTTTAAATGCTAAAAAGACAACAGGTCAAATAAAACTAATAAGTTTGGCAACGTTGAACTTCCCCTCTTTTATTATTTCCACTAATGCATTTTCAACGATATAAAGAACGGACCTAATATACCGCTCTCTTTTTAAATAGGTGTTTCTCACTTCATCTCACGTAAGGTCCATACCGACCATAAACTTACCTACACTGTATACGGTAATTTTATATGTACCCATTTATTTTATAGGTTACATCGTGAAGCTCTTAAACAATCTGCAACAGATCCTCTCTCGGGTAAAATCGATGTTGGTATTCTTACAACTGGTTTAAGCAGTGCTGCTAGAAAACGTAGACTTGAATTAGCACAAACCGTTAAGGAACTCATTGAAAGTAAAGGGCAGGTACCTACATACAGTTATCCTAAGCTGTTTACAGAATTAAAAGAGAATTCTACTTTGGTAAGTATGATTCTTACTATCCATATATTATCATCCAAATAATATCCAAAATCATGAATGTGTTAAGGCATTATATAATATCCAAAATCTTAAATAATTTTCTCTTAGTTTGTTTTGATATCTTCTGTTACACTTTCTTGATTTGTACATAATTTTAAATTATTTTTTAATTGATTCTACGATATATGTATTAATGTGTTTACTATTATTTTTATCATTACTTTTATTGTTGTAGATGATAACTAGAGAACAGTATGAAGATGCCCTTAAAGACCTTCAAGATGATGGAGTGATTGTTGTCATGGGCAAAACGTTAATACGAATATGCCGAAATAGAGACTAAGAACTAAATCCAAAAAAGTTTTACAATTTTTTTATTTAATATACTATAGTTTTAGATTTTTTATAATTTTAATAATGTAGAAGTTGTAATAAATATTTTTTTCTACGCTCTATCTTTATAGTCCCTTATATTACACCGATTGGCTGCACTTAAACGGCTATTTCTGATCGAAAAGAGTTGAAACAAGTGCCATAACGTTAAATTTATTTCACGCTTTCCATAAGACAATACAGTTGCTTAGTGCAGTTAGTCCATACCTTTACCGAAAGTAAAATATCAAGTCACGTTTGACTTTGACAGCACATGAACCCATTAAGGGGAAAATTCACTCATCCCAGATACCTACGATATCAAAAAGATTAAGATCTGGTGGGATTCTTTCTGTGTTATCGATCCTTAGGTGACTTGGATGCGGTAGTATCTCCCAAAAATTTTCGTACGTATCGAGAATATATTTCTCCATGGTCTTATATAGCTGTTCACGAAGACCCAGCTGTTTTATGTTTTCTAAGAGATTCTTAGGTTACCAGACGACTCCAGTATTAGAGAGAATAATAGGTATCGTCTGGTTACTTTCCGTTCTCCATTGTCTCCTGATTTGTATCTCAATATCTCTGTACTTGACGATCTTTTCGTTGTACTTAACACGCAGAATATTGTTGTCAGGTATGGCTATGATCACATTAAGTACTGTTTGTTTAGTTAATAATGGCTAGTAGGTAAACCTCATATGCATATTGTAACGATAATTTGACTACCACACTGTTTTTGATATCACTTGGATAGGGGGTTGAAAGTGGGGACTGAGCAATTACTGGGCTGGAGATAAAAACCGAAAGTTTGCGAACGGTCCCTCTTGTTTTGGTTGGAGAGCTGGATCGTAAGTAAGTATATAAGGAGGGACTGGGAGGAGCAACTACAAAGAAAGAAATCAAGAAAATACTTACACAGGATCCATCAACCCGTCAATAACCCAAAATTTTTGCTCTTCCTTAATAGCAAGTTGACAATAGTTTTTCCAGTTTTCCACTGTTACTACACCAAATGCATCTCTTATTAATTTCAATATAATTTTACTCCATGCCATTTCAATTGGATTTAACTTACAATGGTATGGAGGTAGTCTCAGAATGGTAACATTTTTCTCTTTGTACATCTCATAGATTTTATATTTTATGTATTTTTCTTTGTATGTGTTTACGACTTCCATGAGCTCTGATTTTAAATAATCTTCTTCAAAAAGGATATCTTTCTCCGGCAGCCATGTCTTAATTTGACCTTTATTGAAGACTTATGTCGGAATCACTTCTCTCCTCGAATGGTACGAAACGTTGTCAATCACTACAACAGTTTTCTCTGGTAGATTAGGAAGCAACTTTTCCTTAAGCCATTGTTCAAATATAGGACCATATTCATCATGATAGTTCGCTGAGTTTTTTTAGCTAAAAACCAAAAAGCAGCACTTTCTACAAAGTCCAATTCGCTACCAGCATGCACTATAACAAATCGGGAGCCTCGTTATGTCGGCTGTTTTAGACCTTTTGACAACCTCATAACAAACCCATCCCTGTTTGAAGTCACTGGGAGGTCCTTCCATTCTTTGGAAACACTATGTTCAACATTCACCCAAGTTTTGTCCAAATAAACGACGGTGTATCATTGAGAACGAAATTTTTTTTATCCCAAATACTGATGCCACCATCTTAGAATATCGGGCCGTTCAATCATGCTTGACTTTACTCCTCGTTTGCAAAAAACAAAGTTCATTTCATCTACTATTCTCCACATTGTTGTGCGTGACATGTTTGCTAAATCTTTGTCTTTCTCAACCAATGCAAAAACTTCATTCAATGTCGGCAATTAATTTTTAAAGAAAAAACTATGCACGATGGCACGTAGCCGCGTATGAACTACTGCATCGTAAGTGAACTTTCTACTGTTCACTCTACTCTTGGTAAGTTTTCTTGATTTTTTTATAGTCCTTAGTTCCTCCTTCCTTTCTATCGCTTCCATCGTCCATAAGAAATACCTGCGCAATGTTATTTTCTTAACGTGGAACGCTCTATAGTTGATTCGGGTGAAGATATTTTTCAAAATTAAAGTAACAGTCTATGGAGACGATATCATGACGACCACTACACTTCCTCCAGTCAATTAATACTTGAAGGGAGAGATTATCCTGAGAGACATGGCAATGGTCGACTCAGTAATTTTCTTAATCGCGATTTCTTGCGTAATCGTTCATCATTACTTAAGAGGCTACATCAGCGCGTCATCAATATTAATTCGAGAAATGGTGGCCGCACCGTCTTTCAAAAGTTCTGCGAATCTTTGGCAACAATGCGTCGGCAGTACGTAACATTATCAAAGACGAAGGCACAATATTGTGATAATTAGAGTTCGGATCGGATTTAAAAGCGTAAAGAAAGGCACAAAAAGTTTAAAGATTTTATGAAAATATTTTATTATTTATTTATTATATAAAAAAGCATAAACATAAGCATATACATTTTAACAAACATTTTTTACGAAAATTAGTATAAAACATCTTAGCTTAAGAATTAGTAAATACCTATCATAAATTTAATAATAATATACAGTGTGTTTCAACGAAAATTTGGCCGTCCCAGAAACTCAGAAACCAAGAGTTTGTCAAAATTTAATAATTTACGAAATAACTGAAGATAATTTTTACTAATTTATTGGTTGAACATAAGTATTAACAAAAAACATAAAATTTCATCAAATTAACCAATTTAATGTTAGAAATGACCTTCTGTGACCTCCATACAATAATACAGTATATTTTCAAAGCCTCTTCGTACATTTGCAAATACCTCCGGTCTGAATAATCGGCATTCTGTCACAATCCTTTGTCGGAACTCGGCAAGATCTACAGACGGAGTGGCATATATTTTTGATATTAGGTGAAAGGCAAAAGATCCGGTTATCTGGCCGACTACTCTATTGGACCCCTTCTGCCAATCCAAAGCCCTGGAAAACGTTGTTGATTCAAAAATTGTCTTACGCGTATATCATAATGTGGGGATGCCTTGTCCTATTAGGAAGTCATTTTATCGTTTACAAGATTATCATCAGGTTCCAATGTGTCAGTGAGCAGCGGATCAATAACGTCTTCTAACAAATTTAAATAAGTTGTTCCGTTGAGATTGCCTTAAAAAACTAATAGTCCAATAACGTGATTCCCTAAAATTCCAACCCATACATTTAGTTTCTGAGGTGTTTGTGTATGTGTCTCAATGAATAAATGAGGATTACGTTACTCAAATAACGACAATTATGTCTATTGTCTTCACCATTTAACATAAAAGTACACTCGTCGGAAAAACACGTACAATCGATGTTGGTTGTTTTTATGATTCCACTAAATTCTTCACAAATTTGACATCGATGATCAGGGTCATCTTCGTTTAATTGATGGAGTAATCGTATTTTATAAGGATAAAATTTATAGTATTTTATAATTCGATAAACACTAGATGCTCATAGACCAGATGCACGAGGTAGTTGTCTGATTATCACTTTCGATTATCCATTTGTCAATGACCCAATACTGCCACTTTAACTGCTTCATTTCGCACTCGACGGTCTACTTCATGCTTTGTGTTATTGACGTCACCTAAAGCTTCAAACTTTTTCCTTTTAAACGTTTTTAGTTTAATGTATTGGTGACTAAAGTTTTTTCTGGATTTGGAAATTTTTCCCATTTTCAAAAATATTTATATTTCTAGAATAAAAAATCCTCCCAAGACTATATACTCGCATTAGAATTTGAAATATTTTTACGTAAAATATACTTTTAAAACCCACAATTAATAACAATCTATATTTTTCAAATAGTCCGACAACTCAGTTCTATTACCCAAATATAATAAATTAACTTTAAACAAACACTACTTCACTATGAATCAAAACTCGAATTTCAATATCTTGAAAATAATACACTACTGCATAAACAGATATCGATACAAATAACAGAGCAGAATCGTCAGAAAACAGACGTAGAAGTGCAAATGCGATAGCGGTGACTATTTCTGTGTGTTGCCAACTCACTAAGTTAAGTTCGATTTCTTGTTATAGTTAATTGATTTTAGTTGATTTTAGTAATTCCAATGTGACACAAAATCTAGGCATGGGATAAAAAAGTTTATTTGAAGAAAGTGTATTTTTTTGTTTTTCTTAATGGCGGTAAAAACTCGTTTTTGTAATATTTTATTTAGTTATAGAGTAATTTCCACATACTAGCATATTTCTCAAATTGGGCTTCGTACCGCCATTCTTTACTATATCACGTATATGTGTGCCAAATATCTCGTCAAAATATTTAAAATTAAAGCTGCAATCTTGGAACGTGTTTTCCGTCTTGATGACGCGCTGATGTAGCCTCTTAATATAATATCTTGCGCATCCTTATATACCTGGTAAAAATCAGAAGTAAAGAAGACAAATTCTGTGTTTGTTTATTTATTTACAGATTGTTATAAAAACGGATATGATATTTAATACTTAAAAATCACAGTTTGTTTAGTCCACTAGAATAAAATAAATATTTTGGTTCACACTTATATCTTAAAACATGTTAATACCATGCATTTCTTTCCTCAAACTAAACCAATCCATGGTTTTCTGAGTAACACCTTTTTTCTGATTTAAAGCTTTAGCAGCGTCGTGAAATTTATCTTCGTTGCGTCTGAGATACATCAGAGCGTCTCTCTTCAACTGTTCTAACTTGTTGGGATCGATTTCGGCAATGTCCAGCATCTCTGTCAGATATGGGTTAAATCGGTAATAAACGTTGGTGGGTAGAAGATCTGATAGCATTGTGTGCACTCCTGTAACAAAGAAATATTTCGTAAAAAAATAAATTAGTAACAATGTTATTATTGATATGGCGCTGGATGATCAAAACTAGGAAACTTATCAGAAATAACATGATGTCTATATTCCATTTTGGGCACGGCGTACCCGAAAATCTTTCTTTAAAATGACAGCTTCTCCATATTTGATATTCAGAATGGGTCTGTGTCCATTTTTGCATAAGAAAGACCCTGAAGTCCACATCACCCTTCAGAAACGTTGCGAGT